GAAAAAAAAGTCCAGTTGCCTTTTGCAAAAGCACCTCTGGGACAGCCCTCCCCCCCCCCAAGCCGCCCCCCCCAACCCAGAGTAGAGTAGTCAAAGGCTTCCCTGTGGGGATGCTGCAACAGTCGTAAGTGTGAAACTGGTCATAAGTCAGTTTTTTCAGTGGTGTTATAAACTTTGGCCACCTGATGAGAAGGAAGGACTCCCTGGAGAAGAGCCTGATGCTGGGAAAGATGGAGGGCAAGAGAAGAAGGGGACGACAGAGAAGGAGGGGGCTGGATGGAGTCCCTGAAGCAGGAGGCGGGAGCTTCAATGGAGTCCATGAGATAGATGGTAGAAGACAGGAAGGCCTGGAGGAACGTGGTCCATGGGGTCGCGATGGGTCGGACATGACTTCTTCGCAACTAACAACAACAATAATTTTGAACAGTCCCTAAACGAACTTTGTAAGCTCATGAGGACTACCTATACGCCACCCCGCTCTGCCCTGTTCATTTCTGCTTTGGCTTCAAGTGGGCCAGGCCCAGCCCACAAGAACTGTCGCGTGGGCCAAATGCAGCCATTGTGATGCTCCACAAAGGAGATCTGGCACCTAGCCAGGAGTCCCTCCTGTCCCCAGGCACCCAGGCCTCCTCCTGCCCCCCTGGTGCCATCTCTGGTAAACCGGGGTCCCTTGCCTCTTGCTGATCCCTGGTCAGCTTTGAACAGGAGGCGACATGATTGGAGAGGAAGCTGGAGGCAGATTTTTGTCCTTCCTGGAGCCACCAAGTTTCATATACCTGCAACATGTCGGAAGCAGGAAGTCCATCTTGGGAGCTGCAGCCCACCCCACCCTGCTCAACCAAGACATCTGGCCCAGTTTGGCCGTGCTGAGGACAGTCGGACGGTGGGGCCTCTGAGGTCTCTTCCCAACAGGAGGGACTGAGGACGCTTCCTGAACCAAGGACAGCCTGTTCCTTCCCCACCAGCAATCAGCACCCAGATGAGCAGAGATTAACTCCAAGGTGAACATCAGACCAACAGTCAAGTAAGTTATACCCCAATCAAGAAAACCAATAGTAAACAGCTCAACTGAAGAACCTCTAAGATCACTCCAGGGAAAGACACTGGAATATAAACTGAAAGCAAAGCCCACTCCTTAGTAGCACTGATGATGTTACCTAGTTGGGTCATGAAACGTCTGCAAGAATACAAGCAAGCTCAAAGAGCACCAAGGACTCCATAGTCCTCCTCCTCCTCTTCCTCCTCCTCCTCCTCCTCTCTGCAAACCCCCTCCCTTCTAGCACTGATGATGTTACCTAGTTGGGTCATGAAATGTCTGCCAGAAAACCACCCAGCCCAGAGAGCCCCAAGAACTCCATAGTCGTTGTCCTCCTCCTCCTCCTCCTCCTCCTCCTCCTCCTCCTCCTCTTCCCCTCCACACACCCCACTTCTTTCTAACACTGATGATGTTTCCTAGTTGGGTCATGAAATGTCTGCCAGAAAACCACCCAGCCCAGAGAGCATCCAGGACCCCTCGATTTATTCTACCCAAACTGAATGTGAATCAAGGAAGGGTCCTCAAAGCATGACCCGACTGGGAGGTCTTAAAAGCAACAGAGGCTTGGGAGGGGGCTTCTTAGACCACCTTCCCACTCCTCTGCTTGATGGACAGGAAAAAGACAGGCGTCTCACCCATAATGGCTTCCTCGCAGACGTAGCCGCAGTCTCCCGGGCAGCACTTCTGGGTCCCTGGGCAGTGTTCATCCCTGGCACAGGTGGAGCAGGACCCGTTCTTCTGGCAGGCGCTGCAGTCCTGGGTGTCAAAGACGTCTCCCAAGGGGGGCATGTTGTAGCAGTAGCCATCCTTGGCTGCAAAGCACGGAGGAGAAGTGAAGCCCCGGGAGAGAACGAGGAGTGGGGGGGGGCTCTGGGGGTTAATTCTACTTTGAAACGGTTTTGTCCAAGAATCCTCCCCTTTGATCCTCCCCTTTCTCCAACTCCTCTGGACAATGAGAGGACACATCCAGCCTATCCAGCAGCCACTTGAGCAGGAATTGGTTGACTGATGGATGGATTGATGGTCTCATGGACCGATGGGTTGATGAATTGATGGATTGATGGATTGATAGATTTATGCACTGATTGATTGATCAGTTGGTGGCTGGCTGGCTGGCTGGCTGGCTGGCTGGCTGGCTGGCTGGCTGGCTGGCTGG